AGGAGGAATTGACACTATCCGATGAAAATATACAAGTGGCAAATTCCAATGCATGAATTCATTTCAGAATGGTGCTTTTGGGGCTTGACGAGATGCCGCCCCCTTACAGTACAGTAAAATAGGGATTGAGTGCTTACCTGGAATAAATTTGCTCCATACGGTGTACGCCATCCGTAGAGACAGTGATCTTTCCCAGTGGAAGTGAACCATAAACCACTGTGTGCAAATCGAAGAGACAGAACACAACTCTCGTGCAATGTGAGTTGATATCGTTCGGGATGATTGGGACTGAAAACCTCGACTTGATCGGTCTCCAAACCAACAGCTAACCAATCACCGGATGGACAATAGCCCAACGAGAAAACTTGAGCGGACAAATCGAATTGGTTAATTTGGGAATGTTCACGTAGATCCCAGCAGCGCACGGTTTTATCCAGACCACCGGTCCACAGTTTTGTCCCATCTGGTCGGATGTCGACACAAGAAGCACCTTCGGAATGCCCCTGGTACTGACGAATCAACAATCCGTTGTGTATGTCCCATACACCAATATTTCCGTTGGAACAACAACTGTTAAAATAAATTTAAAGAGTACACGATCAGATAGTCGCTGTTGCAGTACACGAAGAATTTAATTCTCGCAGATAAGGAAAAGGAATACATATCTATGGATATCTTTCTTACAAGAACCAGATGACAAACGGGAATAGCCAACAACCTAGCTTCGTCAATGATTGAACCAATAAACAATACACTTTGGTTAGTAGTTTGGGCAAGAATATCAAGTTTTGAGATTGGTTTAACACATAAAATAGAACAACGAATGAGACGGAATGTTTCCAGTCGTTCTACGACGAATGAACAGCAGGTCAAACAAGAGGTGAACTGACGTTAACATCCTCACTCAGTAGCAGGATGCCAGCAGAGAATCCAAAAACTGACCTGAAACAAAGCTTTCCATCCGGAGAGACAGCTAGAGCGTAACATGCAGGCGCAGAGAAATTGAGTTCACATTTCGCTCGGGGACTGGCAGAACCCAAATCCCAAATGCTCAAAACACTCGATTCACCACCGACAAGAAGGGTGCGCCCATCCTAAAACAGAGTTGACAAGAAGGAACAAATGACGATTTAAAAACTGCACACGTGTGGGGAAATCATCACAGGAAAAGGGAAATTAAAATACAAATAAACTGCGAAAAAATACTGACAACAAATTACTCTGATCTCCCGTCAAGTGCAGCATCATTTAGTCCAAAGTGCATATCTCGAAAAGGCTGAGTGATCGACGGGTTGAAAAGTTGAAGATATGGACGTCGTAGATAAACGGATCGATGCAGTTATGAGGAAAGTCTGTAATTAAAAACAGTCTACTTATGAGTAGTGCAAATAAAATGCACTACTATTAGCACAAGAAGATCCTAGCGGAGTGCCATCTGAATTAAGAATGATAAACAACCAGAAAACCTTTGACTTCAGTTACCTCAGTCTCTTGGATTTACCTGAGTAAGTTTGATAGAACGGACGTATTTGTCCCGCTGTAAGCAGTCCAAAGTGGCCAAACATAATTTTGTGCTTGGTGTTGGACCACTGCCACCACCACCCGCAGAGCCTGGACTAGAAGTGAGACTGTTTCCGACCGGTGAACCCGAGGATCCAATGCTGTTTGAGGTCACCTGAGCCAAATCCCATACTTTCACTGTACCTTTACCGCCGGTGTAAACATGCCGGGCAATATTATTGATTGTGACCGCACATACCACCTCTCCATGGTCGAGGATATGCACCGGTTTGGCTTGGTGAGGAATCCCCGGAGCGAAAAATGCATCCGGAGTAAACGGGACCGGATTCGGTGGTTGATTATCCATCAGGATGAAAGAGTACGGTCTGTACGCATTTGAGTTGAATATGGAAAACAAAGGAAATCAATACGTCATGTTTGTAGAGCGTACAGATAGAAACAATGACAAAGAGTACTGTATTAATGTGACTGTTAGTGTTGAGGTATCGTATTATGAGTCAAATAGGCGCGTAAACGCGAAGTTGGATGCCGATGGGGAGGAAGTTTCTGATTCGGTGAAGAGCGATAGGAGGGACAGAGAGAGCTCGTGGGGGACGTAACCAATGCTTGAAACCATACACTGCACCCTATCAAACATTGTGACTCGTCTCAATCAACAAAATCTTGACCGTCACGAAAACTTCCAAGGTTAGAAACTACAGAGAGAATTAGTAACAATACCCTGTCCATCACACACATACGAACAAATACAAACACACACACACACACATATATATATATATACACACACATCGCAATGCTGTCATGACTTCGGCAACATTGTCATGTCTCACAACGAGT